GGAGGAATTCAACGAGCAGTCGATATTCGTGGAGCCCGAACGGGCGCCCCCGCGGCGGCCCTGTCGAGGGCGTTGGGCGCAGGCGCGCCAGGCGCGCGCGAGGACGCTTTGGTGCGGGCGGTCGCAGCCACGGGCGCGGCTCCTTGCCGAAGGAGCGGCGCCTGGTGACATCCGCAGGGCGTGCTCAACCGCTGCGGGAACGACAGGCACCGCGCCTGCGCCTGCCCTGGGCGCCGAGACCACCGACGCCAAGGGGGTGGAGCAGATCGTGCGCAGGGAGGGTCTGCAACGCGGCCTGGGGCGGAGCAGCTCTGGGATGAGGATTCGCAACCGACCCGGCCGTCGGGCTGGGCCCATGGGCCTTCCCGGCGGCCGTGTTCATCGGCATGGAGGGCGAGCGGGCGGTTTTGCCATCGGCAGAGTCTACGTAGACGGGAACGTTCAGCACGGCAACTATGCAATCCTGCGACGTGGGGATGGTGCTTCGTGCCGCCGACGGACGTCTTGACACTGAGCCTCGTCTGCTACGGGCCCAGCCCTCGAGCCCAGTGGCAGCAAACGAGCTTCAAGAGCGAGATGGTGGCCGTCCTTCGCGTCTTGGAGATGGCCTGCCCGCCGTTCCAGATCCTCTTCGACTGCCGGTCTGTCATCGGCGGCTTTCTCTCTCGTGGGCGGCGCTCCTCACCAGGCAGCACAGAGACTTGCGGGCGTGTCGCGGCTGTGTAGGGAGGACCGAACGGGCCCGCTCCGAGGGCACCGACCAATATGCCTCCCGAAAGTGTCCTTCTCTTGTAAACGTGCCAGCTAGGCTAGCGATAGACGGTCAGGTTCATTGCCGAGCTATCTTCGGGGTAGTCTGAGGGTCGTGGCTGGATGTTTGGGCCGTCTGTGGGAAGGTCGACACCCCGCCAAAGGGATGTAGTTCTGAGCAGGGCAAGCCTGGTCGTTCGGGAGATGGCCCGACGACAAACTATATTTCAGTCTCTGCAGTTGTTCGTTGATCGAATCCCTGATGGTCTTAAAGCAGCATCCAGGCGTATTCTCCTCGTCGTCCCCCCCCTAGGCCTGTGTCACCAGCCGTGCCAGCGGCCGCACGCGCTTTCCTCAGGGGGTTCACGCCAGTGCCAAGCATACCCCCAGAGCAGAGTTCAGAGTCCAGTCCCTCCTCCTCGTCCTCCCTCTTTTCCTCCCTCCCCCCCGGGAGCGCCAGAGTGCGGCAGGTGGGACAGTCTCCGGCGCGGCGGAGCGGTCCTCCCCCCCCGCGGTTGCGGTCGAAGCCAGCAGCGGGGACGTGCGTTGGGCCCTCGCCGCGGGGAAGGGGGATCCGGGCCTCCCGGTCCGCATGGGGTCGATGACTGAGCTTCTTCCGGGCGCCCTGGGCGCTCCCCGTGCCCTCGGGGACCTGCAGGGGCTCCCGCCCTCCCAGGTGCTCGTCGCCGTGCGCCGCCCGGGCCTCTGGGGTGACAAAAGGGCCCCAGGGCGTCTCACCCTCCTCCTGGGCCTGGGACTCTCCTGGCAGGCGCCGGGGCCGTCAGCACACGTCATGGGAGTTGTCCCGGGGGATGCCCTGGTGGCCGCGCAGGAGCCGTGTGCCTCGGGGCCTCCTCCTCTCGGAGAAGAGAAAACGCCATAAACATAAACCTTTGGCGCCCTGCGCGGATTTCTTGGATCCGCGCTGGGGCCCCCCGGCGGCGCCTCTGGCGCTGGGGGTCTCCTCGCAAGGCCACGGGCCGAATGCGGCTCGAAGGAGCGGCGGGGCCAGGCTGCCCGTGCTCGGGATGCTGCATGTTCGGGGTGGGCGAGGATGATCGAGGAGGAGAGTGGATCGCACCTCCTCCTCCTCCTCCTCCTCCTCCTCCTCCTCCTCCTCCTCCTCCTCCTCCTTGTCCCTCTCCTCCTCCTCCTCCTCCTCCTCCTCCTCCTCCACCACCTCCTCCTCCTCCTCCTCCTCCTCCTCCTCCTCCTCCTCCTCCTCCTCCTCCTCCTCCTCCTCCTCCCCCTCGTCCTCTTCCTTCTCCTCGTCCTCTTCCTTCTCCTCCTCGTCCTCTTCCTTCTTCTCCTCACCCCAATCCCCGAGTTCCGCCCGAAAAGTTCGGCCGCCCAGAACAAGGGGGGGAACTCTGGGATGCACTCCAAGGGGGCTATTCGGACGCACCCCTAGAGAGGATAGACGCCCCCCCCCGCCCCACCCTCGTACGTCCCAGGGTTGGGCGCCAAATTTCTGGTCCATCCGAAACCCCCACGAAGCCTGGGATAGGGATCGACATATTCGTTTCGAGAAGCACGAAGCAGCATGAGCACAAGAAACATCCGGAGGTCCGCGCGCGTTGCTCTGGTCGGCGCTGGACCCCCCTCCCTTGGCGCGGGGAGCGAGCCAGGGGCAGCTCCAGGGGCAGCGGCAGGGGTGCCGCCTTTGGGGTGTCAGCGCCGAGCTTTTCCGTCTTCCGGCTCTGGGCGTCCTTCGGCCCGTTTCGGGCATCTTTGGCGCCCTCGTCGCAATGGCAGGATTCCATCTCGAGCGTTTAGCCAGGTCCGGCCCAGGAGACGTCTGGGGGTTGACCCTGAAAAGGAAGAGGAGGAGGAGGAGGAGGAGGAGGAGGAGGAGGAGGAGGAGGAGGAGGAGGAGGAGGAGGAGGAGGAGGAGGAGGAGGAGGGGAGGACGAGGAGGAGGAGGAGGAGGAGGAGAGGAGGAGGAGGAGGAGAGGAGGAGGAGGAGGAGGACAAGGAGGAGGAGCAGGAGGAGGAGGACAAGGAGATGGAGGAGGAGGAGGAGAAGGAAAAGAAGGAGGAGGAGGAGGATAAGGAAGAGGAGGAGGATAAGGAAGAGGAGGAGGAGAAAGAGGAGGAGGAGGACGAGGAGGAGGAGGAGGCGGATGAGGAGGAGGAGGCGGAGGAGGAGGAGGAGCAGGAGGAGGAGGGGAAGGGAGGATGAGGGAGGAGGAGGGAGGAAGGAACGGGGAGCGCAGTCTCTTCAAAACGAGGCTCCAACGCCACAGGATGGTCCGGAACAGTAGCTTTGACGCAAAAACTCTTCTGTAGTCGACCACCTGCTCGAAATGCCCAGCCCCGTCGTCCGATGGCCGTCTTTCCGGTGCCCGGCCCGACGGAGTGCTGCGCCCCCCGCGCCCCGACGCCCCGACGGCCCGCGACCCTCGGGTGGCCTCGGGGCCGAGCCTCCTATGGCGGTGAGGTCCGCGCCGCGGGCCGGCGCATGCGGCCCCAGCACCTCGGGGCCAGAGGGCGAGGAGGTGCCCATACATAGGGGAACGAATAATGACATAAACATACAAACTCGGAGGTCGGCGCGGATTTTTCGAAGGTGGGGAGAGTGGGATTGTGGTGGGACAGTGGCGGGGAGAGTGGGGACAGTGAGACACTGGTGGAGGCACTGGTGGGGACAGCGGGGACAATGGTGGGTACAGTGGGGACAGTGGGACAGTGGTGGGGACGGTGGTGGTGGGGACAGTGGTGTGGGGACAGTGGGAATATGGTGGAAACAGTGGGACAGTGGAGGGTACAGTGGTGGTGGCGACAGGGGTGATGGCGGTGGCGAGGACGGCGGTGGGATAATGGGACAGAGGTGCAGTAGGGACAGTGGTGGGGGCAGTGGGGACAGTGGTGAGAACAGTGGGACAGCTCAGTGGGACAGCGGCGGGGACAGTGGGACACTGGGACACTGGGGACAGTGGGACAGTGGTTGGGGCCGTGGAGAAAGTGGGGAGTGGAACCGTGGTGGGAACAGTGGTGGGGACAGTGGGGACAGTGCGACAGTGGTGGGGGCACTGGTCAGGACAGTGGTGACCGTGGTGGGAACAGCGGGGACAGTGGTGGTGAGGACAGTGGTGCTGGGGACAGTAGTGGGGGATGTGGTGCGGACGGTGGTAGGGACCCAGAGTTGTTTGCTGGCGGTGAGCGTGGGGTGGTGGGGGGGGGAGGGTTCGAACCCGTAGTGATCCCTCCCGGTTTTCGAAGGGGGGGGGCGGGGGGGGGTCGAACCGGTAGTGACCCCCCCCGGTTTTCGAGGGGGGGGGTCGAACCGGTAGTGACCCCTCCTCGGTTTTCCAGAGGGGAGGGGGGTTCGAACGACCCCTCTCTTGTTTCTGGGGGGGGGGGAGGGTTCGAACTGGTAGTGACCCCCTTCGGTTTTCCGGAGGGGGCGGGGTGCTCGAATCGGTAGTGACCCCCCGGTTTTCCAGAGGGGGGGGGGGTAAGGGAGGGGGGGGGGGTTGCCGGTGGGTAGGGGGGGGGGGGTCCAGCATGGGAGGGGGGATTTTCGGAGTGGGGGGGGGTACCCCCGGGTTCCAGAGGAAGAGGGGGGAATTTTCCACAGTGAAGCGGCGGTGGATCACGCTCTCTCGGAGGTCAGGGAGCCTTGGATTGAAGGAGGAAAGTCGCCATAACGATAAACTGTTGGCTCTCCGCGCGGGTTTCTTGGAACCGCGTTGTGGCCCCTGGCGCGCTACGCGCGCCAGGGAGGAGGTTTCAGCGCAGATCCAAGGAATCCGCGCGGACCGCCAGAATGTTATGTTTATGCCGTTTTTCTTTCGAGACACCCTTTGCCTCCAGGTTGCCCTGGGTTTCTGGGGGTTCGATGTTTCTGCGATGGAACACGTGACGCCCCCAAGTACCACAAATCCATGGAAGGTCTCTTGTGGTCGAGATCCTACTGTACCGCTCCCTCGTTTTCTCCAATGTTGGCCTTTCTGGCTAAAGCTGTCTTGTTTTAACACGTCGGGTTTATGTTATGAGAACATGGTTTTTGTTCCTCTAGAATATTATTGGGTTCTAAGAATATTTCGTGGTAGGCCGCCAACAGGAATGCAGGGACGGTCGGTCCTTGCTCAACTCCTGGGGCCCAGCTGGCGGATCTGTTCAACTCTACTTCGACTTCGCTACGACTCCAGCTCGCCTCGAGCTCGATTCGAGTTCGAGTCGAGTCCGACTCGGGCCGACGCTGTCGCTCGACGCGGCTTCGACGCATGAGCGCAGCGAATGGCCGCAGCTGCTTTGGCCCGAGACCCCGCTGCAGGCGCCCCTTGCCGGACGAGGCCTCCCCCCCCGGGTCGTCACCGATGGCCGCCCGCCGCCCCGTGCTGCTCGCCCTCTGCCTCGCCGCCGCCAGCGCGTGGCTGCTCAGCGGCGTGGCCGCGCCGCCCGCCGCCCCGCAGGGCTTCGTCGCCCCCTCGCCGGCCCTGCGCGCTGGGGCCCTCGTGGGACAAGCAGCTCCCCAGACTCGCTGATCCTCAGGGTGTGTGTTAGCCCAATGGGTGTTTGCCCCCTTCAGCCCCACCTGTAGATCATTACATCGCCTGCGTCGTATCGAAGGGCCTCGATGGACAAACACACGTTGGGGCTAACACACTCTCTGAGGATCATCGATCACCACCTACCAAACCATGCCAACCCAATCCGAAGGCCTCAATTTGCCCTCCATTTCCAGTTGGGGGGGGTGTCGGGGAACATGGCGAAAACACATCTATGGAGCCCGTGCCCCCGCCCCCGACCCGAAATTCGGGACTTCGGGTTGGGTTTGGGGTGGTCTGGTAGGCAGTCAGCGTACTCTCGCGGTGTAACAAAGTCAGGACGGGAGGTTTTGATTTGCCGTTTTCGGCTTCTGGGGGCCTTGGGCTGGGTACGGGACCGTCCACCAACGAGCCAGGCTGACGGGCTGGTCCTGGGGAGGAGGTCGGGATTTCGTGGGACACCGCGCTGAGATGCCCCGAGTCGTTCCCCAACCCTCTCTGCACGAGAGGCGACCGTTTGCGTGGACTCCATCTGCAGAAGAACGCTTGCGGGATATATGCAGAAGTGGGGAGGGCAGTCGCGAAAGCAATGTCCAAGGCCACGCGCCACACCTGCCAAACACAGAACGGGGGGCCGGAGTGGAGGAGGAGGAGGAGGAGGAGGAGGAAGAGGAGGAGGAGGAAGGAAGAGGGTGACGACAAGGAGAATTGAGATCGAAGGGAACATAAATACTGTCGAGTGCCACAGCGCCATTCGCTACATGGGCTGGGTTCGCCAGTGGCCGCAGCGGGCGACGGGTGCCTCAGGAGGGGGGGTGAACTGGCGGCAGAGGACAGTGCAATGCGTTCCGTGCCGCTTCAGCGCCCTGCGCTGTGTGATGCAACAGCGCCGCGCGCTGAATGACGGGACAGCGTTGCGCGCCATGCGGGCGCGCGCCCTTTCACATCTGACTGGTCATTGCTCGTTGACAGCGTGGCCGACGGGGCCGCCAATCTTGCGCCCAGAACCCGCTTGCGGCTCTCCTCCTTTCAGTCACGCGGGACTTTGGCAAGGCCGATCGCGTGCGCCGTCTTCGCGGACTTTTTGTCTGCAGTTTCCCGCGCGGGCATTGGAATTCCAGAGGCGAGCGGCCAGGTCCGCCAGCGGCCTTCGCGACAAAAAATCCAAGCTTGCGGCGCGGATGATGAGGAGGTTGTCAGACGTCGTCGCTCTGGAGAGCATGACATAGAGGTGTGACCAACGGGAATACAAGTTGTCGACGTTCTTATGCCCAGCGTCGATGATGAAGCTCTCGCACATGGTCCGGCCTTGGCTGGCCGTCGACGTCAGCACCTTAGCGTGGGAGAATTGCAAGCCGGTCCGCGTGAACCTGTGCTTGCGGAAATCGATGGGGGTGGGCGTCTGCGGTTCGATGAGGATGAGCCTCGCCGGAGCCTCCCATGAACCCGGAGCCCACGAAATTGGCGACAGTTTCGCAGATCGCAGCTCCCCAAACACGGCGAGGTCTCATGGTGTCAGCGTAAGACGTCACTCAGCTGGGCCTCCCTGGAACCCACGAAAGTGGCGACGGTTTCGCCGATCGTAGCCTTCCGGGGACGGCGAGGTCTCATGCATGCGCAAGACGTCTCCTTGCGTGGCCTTCCAGGGGTCCACGAAAGTGGCGACAGCGCCGCACATCGCAGCTCCCGAAGGACGGCGAGGTCTCATGGTGGTTTTGCGTAAAACATCACTTTGCCAGGTCTCGCAGGAGCCACGAAAGTGGCGACCGTTTCGCATATCGCATGCCCCCATTGACGGCGAGGTTCCATGGTGGTCTACGCAAGACGTCATTCAGCTGGGCCTCCCAGGAGCCCACGAACGTGGTGACAGGTTCGCAGGTCGCAGCCTCCCAGATGCGTCGCCTTGTCTGGCCTCCCATAATCACACCAAAATGGCGACACCTTTGCAAGTTTCAGGCCCCCCAAGGACGGCGAGGTCTTAATTATGGTGGTCCGCGTAGGACGTCATGTTGCTTGGTTCCCAGCAGCCTGCGAAATAGACACAGTTTCGCAGATCGCAGCCCCCTGGGGACGGCGAGGCCACATGATGGCTGCGCAAAACGTCGCTTGTCAGGGCAACCCTCCAGGGACGGCGAGGTCTCACGGTGGTCTGCGCAAGTCGTCTTTTTGCTGGGCATCCCAGGAGCCACGAAAATGGCGACGGTTTCGCATATCGCATGCTCCCAAGGAGAGAGCGTTTCACGGTGGTCAGCTGGGCATCCCGGGAGCCCGCGCAACTGGCAACAGTTACGCAGGTCGCCGCCCCCCAGGGATGGCGAGGTCTCATGGCGGTTTGCGTAAAACGTTATTCCCAACCATCCTGTGGTGTTGGGTCCTCGTTTTGAAGAGACGGTGCCCCGCGTTCCTCTCCTTCCTCCTCCCTCCTCCTCCGCCTCCTCCCCCTCCCATCATCATCATCATCATCATCATCATCATCATCATCATCATCATCATCATCATCATCATCATCATCATCATCATCATCATCATCATCATCATCATCATCATCAGCATCATCATCATCATCATCATCATCATCATCATCATCATCATCATCATCATCATCATCATCATCATCATCATCATCGTCATCATCGTCATCGTCATCGTCATCACCATGATCATCATCGACATCATCGACGTCATCATCACCACCACCATCATCATCATCATCGTCATCGCCATCACCCATATCGGCACACCCCTCACACGCTTCGTGGCCCCATAGGGAGCTCCACCGAAGGCCCCAGTGCTGCCGCCCGCATGCGTCCCCCACACCCCTCACACGTTTCGTGGCCTCATAGGGAGCTCCAACGAAGGCCCCAGTGTTGCCGCCCGCATGCGTCCCCTACACCCAATTCGGCACACCCCTCACACGTTTCGTGGCCCCGTCCCCTACACCCATTTCGGCACACCCCTCACGCGCTTCGTGGCCCCATAGGGAGCTCCACCGAAGGCCTCAGTACCGCCGCCCGCATGCGTCCCCTACACCCAATTCGGCACATCCCTCACACGTGTCGTGGCCCCATAGGGAGCTCCTCCGAAGGCCCCAGTGCTGCCGCCCGCATGCGTCACGCACACCCAATTCGGCACACCCCTCACACGTTTCGTGGCCCCATAGGGAGCTCCACCGAAGGCCCCAGTGCTGCCGCCCGCATGCGTCACGCACATCCAAGTCGGCACACCCCTCACACGGTTCGTGGTCCCATAGGGAGCTCCGCCGAAGGCCCCAGGCCCCAGTGCTGCCGCCCGCATGCGTCCCACACCCAATTCGGCACACCCCTCACACGTTTCGTGGCCCCATAGGGAGCTCCACCGAAGGCCCCAGTGCTGCCGCCCGCATGCGTCACGCACACCCAATTCGGCACACCCCTCACACGTTTCGTGGCCCCATAGGGAGCTCCACCGAAGGCCCCAGTGCTGCCGCCCGCATGCGTCCCGCACACCCAATTCGGCACACCCCTCACACGTTTCGTGGCCCCATAGGGAGCTCCACCGAAGGCCCCAGTGCTGCCGCCCGCATGCGTCACGCACATCCAAGTCGGCACACCCCTCACACGGTTCGTGGTCCCATAGGGAGCTCCTCCGAAGGCCCCAGTGCTGCCGCCCGCATGCGTCTCCTATACCCACGTCGGCACACCCCTCACACCCTTCGTGGCCCTATATGGAGCTCCAACGAAGGCCCCAGTGCTGCCGCCCGCATGCGTCACCTACACCCAATTCGGCACACCCCTCACACGTTTCGTGGCCCCATACGAAGCTCCACCGAAGGCCTCAGTACTGCCGCCCGCATGCGTCACCTACACCCACTGCGGCACACCCTTCACGAGGTTCGTTGCCTCATAGGGAGCTCCACCGAAGGTCCTAGTGCCGCCGCCTGCATGCGTACGAGCCCCAGGGCGATCAAAAACGCGTTCGGGGCGTCGAGCTCCCCCCAGGGGAAAAGGTCCAGCTACGGACAGGGGGGCCGGGGGCGCACGATGAAGAGCTACAGGACTGAACACCTCCGGCTGTGCCCTTCTCTTCCTCCAGCGTTCTCCCTCTTTCTCCTCTCCTCTTCCTCCTCCTCCTCCTCCTCCTCCTCCTCCTCCTCCTCCTCCTCCTCCTCCTCCTCCCCCGCCGCATCCTCGCACACCTCCCCCATCCACTGCCCCTCCTCCTCCTCCTCCTCCTCCTCCCTCCTCCTCTCCTCCTCCCTCATCCTCCTCATCATCCGCATCATCGCCTCTCTTCCTCCGCATCCTCCTCCTCATCCTCCTCATCTTGATCCCTCCCTCCCTCCTCATCCTCCTCCTCCTCCCCTCCTCTTTCCTTTTCCCATCCTCGATATCCTCCTCCTCCTCCTCTCCTCCTCCTCCTCCTCCTCCTCCTCCTCCTCCCTCCTCTCCTCCTCCTCCTCCTCCTCCTCATCCTCCTCATCCTCATCCTCATCCTCATCCTCATCCTCATCCTTCTCCTCCTCCTCCTCCTCCTCCTCCTCCTCCTCCTCCTCCTCCTCCCTCCAAGGACATCTGGGGATCATCCTGGGACGTGAGGGCTTTCCTGCGGATCTCTGGGGGGGGGCCTTCCGCCAGGTGCGTCGAAAATGAGTCGGCGATGCGGCGCGACTCTTCGACCCTGGTCCCCTTTGGGAGGCCTGCGGCAGGTTCGCGTTGTGTCGACGCGCCAGGGACCCGTTCAAGGTTGAACAACGGGCCAATTTTGTTCCGGCACTGCGACGACCGAGTTCCGGCAGTCGCTCGCGAATGTACAAGCATCGAGCGATGCGGAGCGGCTCCGCTTTACTGATGGGCTGCGCCCAACCATGGTGGCGTTGAAGAACCGTTTGTTCGAGGAGGAGTTGGGGGAGGCGGCCGAGCATGGCTGGGAGTCTGGGGGGGGGGCATGTTGCAAACAGAAGATTTTTGTTCGTAGCTTTGCAGAGAGGCTGGGCCCTGCAGCCATCCTGTGGCGTTGGGTCACCGTTAAGGACACGCGCCGCGCACCCTCCTCATCCCCCCCCCTCCCCCTCCCACCGTCATTCTCATCATTGTCGTCGCGGGCGTCGCCATCGTCATCATGGCCATCATCGTCGCCATCATCGCCATCGTCTTCGTCGCACCCCTCACGCACTTCGCGCACCCATAGGGAGCTTCGCCCAAGGCTCCAGTGGCGCAGTCCGCATGGCTGCGCCGCCCCATGTTGGCCCGCCCATTCCGCGTTTCGTGGCGCCGTGGGAAGCTCCACCTAAGGCCCCAGTGGCGCGGTCCGCATGGCGGCGCCGCCCCATCTAGGCGCACCCTTCACGCGCTTCGTGGCGCCATAGGGGTGCTCCACGTAAGGTTCCAGTGGCGCAGTCCGCATGGCGGATCCGCCTCGTTGTGGCGCGCCCCTCGCGCGCTTCGTAGCCCCGCAGGGGGCCCCGCCCAAGGGCCCGGCGGCGCAGCCCGCATGGCGGCGCCGCCCTATTCTGGCACACCCCTCACGCACTTCGCGGCTCCATCGGGGGTTTCACCAAAGGCCCCAGCGGCAGCGCCCGCGTGGCGCCCCCGCCCCGTTCCGGCGCATCCCTCACGCGTTTTGCGGCCCCATAAACGGAGCTCAACATCAGGCCCCGGCGGCAGCGCCCGCGCGGCGGCCCCGCCCCATGCAGGCGCACTCTTCACGTTTCGCGGCCCCACGCGAGGTTCCACCGAAAGCGATGCTAACAACGACGGCACTCACACCTGCACATGGTTGGGCCCTTCGCCAGGCTAATTTTGCTGGGCCGCCCCGGAACCCATGAAAGTTGCGACGGTTTCGCAGATCGCAGCCCCCCAGAAACAGCAAGCCCTCATGGTAGTCTGCGCAGGGTGGCGACACTTGTGCAAGTCACAGCCACCCAGGGAGCAGCGCAGGACAAATCATGAGGAGGGGGGGCCAACACAGGAGGAGGTGCAAACCACAATGTTTTATTCAAAATGGAAGCCCAACACAGGAGGGTTGAACCAAATCCAGACATCTCATGTCTGGCTGTGAACCTCCATGATGGGGTCCGAAGAGAAGGGGTCGGAGGGTCGCGCCGCATCGCCGATGTATCGACGACGCGGCCCGATGCGGAACCCGACTTTCGCCACGCCGACGGCGGCGGTGTATCGCCGACGTGGCCGTTGTGCATCACTGATGCATCGCCGATGCATCGGCGATACATATATATATATATATATATGTATACATATACATGTATACACATATGTATATATATATGTATATATCGGCGATGCCGTGCAGTTTCCCGGCCCCATCCACTCGGACACCATGTGCAATGCTTCTGCAGATGGCATAATCATAAACTTGTGAAGGTCCGCGTGGATTTTTTGGGTCGGTGCTGGACACCACTCCTTGGACCGCGGAGCGCACCAGGGGCGGCTTTGGAGGCGCCGCCCAGGATGTCGATCGCCGAGCCGAGCAGTCCGCGCGCACCTGCGATAGTTTATCCTCGTGCTGCCTCGTGTCCCTCCAGGCCCGCGGCGCCATGGCGGGCGCTGAGGTCTCGTCGGGGGGCTGGCGGCCCGGGCCCGTTTGCGCCCCCAGACCTCGCAGGGGGAGTGATTTCCACAGGCGCAGCCGACGTGGGTGCGGACAGAATGGGTATTGTCGTCAACCCGCAGAGGGAGGATGCGTCATTTTCTAAGGTTCTTCTTGCCGCTTTCCCATTCGGCCTATCCTTGGCCGCTCTTGCTGGCCGCGCCCCGCTCGCAAAGTGTGGGCATGGCCTTCGAAGGCCCGTGCATCCTTATCGTGCGTCCTTATTGTACGCGTTGGCCGTACTATTGCCCACAGGAAGAAGAATAAGGACTTCTACCTGCAACTGCACTCCTTCGCCTGTCTGTCTTTTTGCTCGCGCTCTGCAAACAAATTCGGTACACAGCCTGGCTCAAGCACAAATCAAGCTGCTCAAGATATCGTGATATCAAGAATTATGCTTTGAAAGTGCGGCTGGGTACAATGACAGATATTATGAGCAGCTTGGGTTCTACAAGCTTTCTGCCTTTACGGCGTCTTCAGGAATCGAACCCTAAAACGGCTATGGAATGTTTAAGCTTATAAGGTCCACCACATTCCCCGACCAGCCTACCCGCGAATGTGTGAAATTATGTTACGGCTATTGGTACAAGCAAATCTGACTGACTGGGCCGTTAGGTGTCTCTGTACGTGTGCAGGGATAGAGACGCACTGTTTCACCCTACACCACGCCTGTCGGTGGTGTGGGAGCACTAATGTAAGCACGCGTGCCTGCTCGGTGTCCGAAGCCCGAGCCTCCACCTGAGCGTGCAAGCCTAGATACAACATGCGATTCGAAGGGTCGAGTCCTCGAATGGCCCGGCGCCATTGTTGCCCCGAGTAGCCCCTAGATATGATTAGCTGGCCGAATTGTGCTAAATCGGCCATGGCCCGCGAAGCATCCGCATTGTGAGTGATACGACGTTTTGCTTCCTGTCGTATCCACGAAAAGGCCAAAGAAGGGGCATGATGGCTACTCTGGGGGATGTACGCGTGAGGATTGCTAGGCTTGCAATACAGAGAAACGTCCAGGATACCCGAATGGACCCATCTCCCAGTCTTGCTAAACTGAAGGTCCAAAAACACAGCCTTAGACCGGGACATGGCAAATTTATACACGAAATGGCACTGACCTAGCGGGGTACAGCATGGGGTATTCAGAAGGGCTTCGAGTCGTAACAGCTCCCTGTCGGACCCAACCCATACAAATAATCCGTCATCGAGGTATCTCGACCACGATTTTGCCAGGATGCCCGGGTGCTCTTGGATGCCACGATGTTTTTCGTAATAATAAGCGCTTATGGCTGCTACCTGGGGGGCGCAATCCAATCCCATTGCCACGCCGCGCCGTTGGCGGAATGGCAAACCGTCGAATCTGAAATAATTATGGTTTAACAGATGCTGTAGGATGTACAGGATCAGATCTTTGATGGGGCCGTTGATGTAGGAAGCGTACATATGAATGGCCCACGACGTTGCCTGGACGCAGAAATCCACGTTGATATTCAGAAAGAAATCTTTCATGTCGAACTCGACCAACACCGACTCTGGAGGAACCTCTAGGCTCTCATACGTATGGATAGTCTGTTTAGAGCTGCAAGTAACTCCAGGGAGTTTTTCCACTATGGGTTGAAGGAGCTGCGCAATCCAAAACGCTGCTGGTTTCCTCCAGTCCCCCACGGAATTGATAATGGGTCGTACTGGTATCGTCTCCGTGGGGTATTGTCTCAGGGACTGCATGCGCTTCATATCGATGTCACTCTGCTTGTGTAGCTTGTACGTGCCTTGGAACTTGGCGTAGAAGAAAAGTTTCACGCCTGTCCGCATATCCCGCAAGAGGGTCGCCCAACCACCAAAAATGAAGTAGAAGATGCGATGGGCCCAAATTCCTGGTATGCCGGAGTGGTCTTTCAGCCAAGGTCCAAAACGTTCGAATATATAATTCCACTCTGTAAGGGCGGCTCTTTCGTGATCAGGGTCAAGGAGGGGTTGGTAGAAAGTGTCGTCGGCGAGATGTGCTTTCATGTCTAGTCTGTATTTGAACACGTTCTGCACGATCAAGGCCTGGAACTTGTCAGGGGGACCAATATGTAATAGGTGCTGCTTTTCTCGGAGGGCCCTCAGGGGTCGATGATCTCGTACATTTGAGCGATACCTGATGCCCCCCTCGTTCGGTGGATATGGCGTTATGGCATCGAAAACGGTTGTTTTCAGATCTTTCAACCATCCGTTCACAACATCTGGGTAAGCATAGTCCTGAGCATTGTGTAGCTTTGGTATCCAAGTCTTGTTAGCCATTGCTCTGAACAGGGCTGCCTCTCGACCAGAAAATGTGTCGGCGTGTAGCCGGCGACGCCGTGAACCTACCAGGAGATGCCGATCATCTGCGAAGCCTCGGTCGTCGTCCCACGTGGGCTCGAGGAAACGTAAACTCGTATCTTGGGCAGCCGCAGAATCTTCTAGTTGATTTTGCACTTTGAAGTAAGCGTTGAGCAAGACAGATCTTTCGAACCGATTCCAACCAATATTGAGAGCACTACGGTATTCCGAAAAAGTCGGGCTAATAGTGAATTTACCGCCGGTGGTGCCGAGGAAGGTCATGATGTCAGGGCTGACCCCTGCGAAATCGAAGACCCCTCGGGCCTGAACCCAATGGCGAAGATGTGAAACGGACAGCTTCCGTAGAAGGATTCTCATGTAGTGCTCCACGCTGTGGACTGGCTCGTAACGAGGTCGATGGCCAGAGATGCAACGGGCTAGGCTCTGCCTCTGCCTTTGCCCTTGCCCTTGCCCCGGCCTCGTCCTCTCCCTCGTCCACGGCCTCTCCCACGACCCTTCGAGCCCTTGTAGTTGTTCAGGGCGGTCTGGTCGTAGGAGGTGGACGTCTTGCCCTTGCCCTTGCCGTAGCCGCGGCCCTTGCCGTAGCTCTTGCCTTTGCCTTTGGAGGTGTCCGCCGAGCTTTTGCCAGCGGACCGCCCTTTGCCGCGACCTTTGGGAGGTCGCCATTCGTTCAGTTTGCCACCACTGCTGGTCTTGCCCTTCCCGCGCCCCTTCGACGGAGTCGGTGGTGCTGACGCGGGGGGCCGTACGTTTTTTGGCAACCTGCACTGTATGTCGTACTCTTTGCTCAGCATCTGGGTGACCGATGTCATGTTGTTCGGGTGTGCCACGTCTTTGGGCTTTCCTTTCGGGTGCAGCGCGAAATGATGTTCCATGGACAGCCGGAGTGCCACCTCCTTCCCGTCCATGTGCTGCAGTTGTTGCTTCGCCTTCTCAACCTTCTCCTTTTTCTGGGCGAGTCGCAAAGCCTGCTTCTCATGTTGCTTCAGAAAATCACTGGCAGTATGGTGATAAGCGTGAAGAGCAAATTTCCGCGCCAATTCGATCCAGACTTTGTTTTTCTGCTGTGTCGACTCTTTGTCCGCAATACCCAGGATATCTGACATTTTTGTAGAATTGTAAGTGACCAACTTAATGCATTTATCCACCAACTGTTCCTCTGTGAGAAGATCGTTTTGAACTCTCTTGGTTGCCTCCACCACCGCCCCGTAGTGGAGAGCGAAGAGCCTGAGAGGGCTAAGGCTGCCCGATGCCCTCTCCTGGTCCTCGATTGCGTTGAAGTCAGCCGCAACGGTGTCGGGATATTTAGGTCTCTTGTCCTTGGTCGCGATGGTCTGGAAGGCTTTGGGGATCTGCGTGGCCCCCGTGATCGACTGGAAGGTGTCCGAATTGGCTTCGAAAATCAATATGCTTTTCCATTCCGTTGCTTTGGCCCTAAGACGTGCTACTGCGTTCATATTGCGCCACAATTGTCGTACGAGGTCAGAGAGTGCTTTGCCATATGGCTTCCGCAATTCTTTTGCCTCCAAGTCGTTCAAGCAATACCATGTGAGGTCATCAGTATTGTCGTCGTCGGGCACCTCTTCGGCCAGGTCGGCCGAAGTGTCCGCGAGCCTGCTTCCCAGACTCCGGCTGCGTTCCCGACGCTCCTCTCCAGGTCTGCTTCCTGATGGCGGCATTGTGCAGGAGATAGAACATGTGTGTACCCACTCGAAGAAGAATAAGGACTTCTACCTGCAACTGCACTCCTTCGCCTGTCTGTCTTTTTGCTCGCGCTCTGCAAACAAATTCGGTACACAGCCTGGCTCAAGCACAAATCAAGCTGCTCAAGATATCGTGATATCAAGAATTATGCTTTGAAAGTGCGGCTGGGTACAATGACAGATATTATGAGCAGCTTGGGTTCTACAAGCTTTCTGCCTTTACGGCGTCTTCAGGAATCGAACCCTAAAACGGCTATGGAATGTTTAAGCTTATGCTTATGCTTATGCTTATGCTTATGCTTATGCTTATGCTTATGCTTATGCTTATGCTTATAAGGTCCACCACATTCCCCGACCAGCCTACCCGCGAATGTGTGAAATTATGTTACGGCTATTGGTACAAGCAAATCTGAGCAGCCACCCAGGGAGCAGCGCAGGACAAATCATCAGGAGGGGGGGCCAACACAGGAGGAGGTGCAAACCACAATGTTTTATTCAAAATGGAAGCCCAACACAGGAGGGTTGAACCAAATCCAGACATCTCATGTCTGGCTGTGAACCTCCATGATGGGGTCCGAAGAGAAGGGGTCGGAGGGTCGCGCCGCATCGCCGATGTATCGACGACGCGGCCCGATGCGGAACCCGACTTTCGCCACGCCGACGGCGGCGGTGTATCGCCGACGTGGCCGGTGTGCATCACTGATGCATCGCCGATGCATCGGCGATACATATATATATGTATACATATACATGTATACACATATGTATATATATGTATATATCGGCGATGCCGTGCAGTTTCCAGGCCCCATCCACTCGGACACCATGTGCAATGCTTCTGCAGATGGCATAATCATAAACTTGTGAAGGTCCGCGTGGATTTTTTGGGTCGGTGCTGGACACCACTCCTTGGACCGCGGAGCGCACCAGGGGCGGCTTTGGA